ACAATTTCAGTTATTTTGTCCCATCCAGGAGAAAAGTAACTAAGACCATAACAAATAAAAAATATTTAGTGAGGTTGTATAGGTTACCATGGTTTTGCTATTGTATTGATACAACTAGCAAGTGTATATGTTCTCACTCTTTAGGGCAGTCTTCAGAACAGTAAGAAATAAAGAGCAGGTTGCACTTGGAGAAAATTACATGGCAGGTGACTAAATTTGCAAAACAGGTGAGTTTAGAATAGACTATTTTTGGAGACTAGGAGCAGTGTTAGAGAATGTCCTAACACCTTCCATATGCAACCTACCCCAAACTCTTACTTTTTTCTCCTCTCGCCCTCATTCCTTCCTGCTAATTTCCTCCTGATATTGTTTCCTTGCTGAAAGCCTGTGACTCACCCTGGATGCCTTTTTTTTTTTTACAGTTTCTATTTTTTATTAGTACATATTTACAGTACATAATGATTACATTCCTCATGGGAGTTGGTACATGCACATAACTCATCCTAATTCTTTTTTTTTTCATTCCTATCTAAGTGGGCACACACTCCTCCTGTTCTACCTCATAGGCACATTCCCCTTTTCGTGCCAATTCATTGCCACAGACCCCTGAGTGCCTCTTCCTGGGCCTCCCTCTGGGCCCCAGCTTCTGGTCTAGTCTTCTGGTCAGCCTCTGAATTCATTATCTGTGTTTTATATTAGATGACAAACATTAGCTTTCAATGCAGCATGTAATGAAAGCACATAGCTCTTGATGCCTGCACCTTTGTACTTCCAGGACCCTGCTCAACATTGTTCCCTGGCTCCTATAAGATAAAACCTTGCATAGTCCATATGCTATCACCCTGTTTATAAGCTTCATTTTGCTTTAATTTGGATTGCTGTGTTGTGATATCCACACATCCAGGGGCTTTGTACCTCTATGCCTTTGTGTTTGCTGGCTTTACCACCTTGAAACACCCTTCTGCTGCTTCTCCTCTGCTCATCTGTCTGTCACATGTGCAAATGTCCATCCAAACTCTGCCTCTAGTAACTCTGCCTATGTGTTTCACTGCATGTCCTCTCACCACACTGCATACAGAAGTCTAGAATCTAATTATCAAATCTTATTGCCACTGTTGATGGCATATTTCTGTCTCTGCTACACAAAAATTTATTGCAAACACCAGTGTGTTAGGAATGCATCCCATAGACATTTACATGTCATGTCTGGATACTCCCTTTTATCAGAAAACATATTTTCCAATAATTCCCATTGTAATGTTTTGCTTTCATGAAATATCCTACGAGAAACAGCTGTCATCAGATGCTGAAGAAACACCGACAGAAAGAACTTGTGTTTGGGTGTCCCTGTTACAGGTGCTAAGTACGTGGTTTCAGATGAAGGCAGAAAGCAGGGAATTAGATGTCTGTCCAGGCTGGTAGGAATTCAGAGACCCCCTGAATTCATTATCCGTGTTTTATATTAGATGACAAACATTAGCTTTCAATGCAGCGTGTAGTGAATGCACATAGCACTTGGTGCCTGCACCTTTGTACAGGTAGATTGATACTGAGAGTGGATCAGGAAGAAATGAACACAGGGAACCTGGCTTCCCCATGCAGTACCACCCTTGCTTTCAAGGCACCGGCCAGGTCTGTCCCCCTCAGCAATGCTGTTGTGTTAGATGTTGATAAATATTTGATGAATAACCAGGTCAGTGAGTGTGTGCTGATAAAACTGCAATGCCGGTTACTGAATTCTGAGTTTTGTGCCTCATGGAACCCAAGGCAAACTCTCAATAATCATGTGTCTAAATTGATCTTCATATTTTGGAAAACTAGAAGATTCAGTAAATGTACAGCTTTTTGGCCTTAGGATGACTGTCTTTGTGATCATGGTTTGTCTATGGCTTCATGGTTAAATCTCTCTTAAAAACGGTTTTTGGTCTTGAGATAGGAATTGATCTGTCTGAGTAACTTGAGTCTGAAAAATGCACCTATTTCTCTTTACCCAATCAGTTTCTGTAAGAAGATGATAAATCAGTTCAGTGGGCTAGTTTTAAACTTACTGAGATTTCTGAGTAGAAAGAACAAAGAGAGCAAAGATTTATTTAGCTTTTTTTTAAAGTGGGCAAATATCTTTGATTCAGGATATATTTTGTTGGTGGAGGTTTTACCTTCATTAAGGTGAACCCTAGCAAGGATGGATCAGAAGTGATAATGATAATTACTGTATCTTGTTGAGAGAAATCTGAATGGACATAGAAGTTAACATGGCATTTTAAGATATCTGATTAAAATGATTCTTTGAAATCAGAATATGTTCTTTTAGTAGATATAATAAAATAGTTTATACTTTTAAATACAGCTGCATTATCAGAACAGTAATATCCTAGTATGTTAAGGACATGTAAGGATAGAAGAGCAAAGTGTGGTTTATATTATGCTAAATTCATGTAAATAATAAATCCTGAGGGATTTAAGGGAAATCCGTGGATTTTCTGTATTGTGAAGCATGCTACTTATATGAGCCTTAGGGGATTGCACATTGTTGGAGATTTTTGTAACATTTCTGATCTTTGGTTGAACCAGGAGCTAGGAGAGGGAAGGAGGCACAAACTGGGTCATCTGCTGCCATGTCCTGGGGGAGCACAGCATCTGGGGTGGAAGATTGAGGTCAAAACATGCTTTTCCAGCTCCAGGAAGAGGGCACTTGGTATAGTTGGAGACATGCATTCCTAGCCTAATAGTAAGCCAGTGTATTCCTTCCTCCTTAATTTTAAATCTGTCTTGAGCCAGTAACAAGACGGTGTTGTTTAGGTTCCTGTACAGATTACCTAAAGAAGAATTCTGAATAGATTATATTTTCTTGATGGTTAAATATTACATAAGGATTTAAGTGCTCAGAATTCATTTTAGCCGTCTTTTAAAATTTTTATTTACATTTTTAATTTAAGGCACCTTTTATAATTTTAACCAAGGGATGAATATATTATTTATTTAAAAATTAAATATAAAATTTGATTTAAAAGTCAAAAAAATGTCTTAGGACAGTTTATCCATCTGATTTCTGTTCCTTAACCTAAAAAGGAAAACACTGTTAATACTTCCATATGCATTCTGCAGTATTTTTGTCATACATTTGTAAGCAAAAAAGCAAGAAGTACTCCATTGTGTATATATACCATATTTTCTTTATCCATTCGATTGATGGGCATATATAACCTGAATATTTAAAAATAATATTTTAATATTTTTAAGTTTGTAGCATATTTTTAAAATTTAGAAGTACATTCTCTCTCAACCTAATTCACTTCCCCAAAGGTGTGGGACATTAGAGACTTATGTCAGAGGCCTGGGGAGGTTTTTACCTCCACAGGCCTTCCTTACCTAGGTTACTGGGAGGGTCAAAAGAGAGGGAAGCCAGATGTGGTTGCGCACACTTGTGGGCCCAGTACCTCTGGACAGGCTGAGACAGGAGGATTTTGAGTTCAGAGCTGGCCTATACAACAGAGCCAGATGGTCTCAAAGAATAAACGAGGGTGGTGGTGGCTCTTGAGAAAACTGTGTAATTATTATTATGTATTATGTGACAAATACAGTTTCTTAGAATATTTAGAAAATGACACAATAAATACCAACCACAGATATCTGGACAAGTTGTAAAATATGTAGATTATTTTCATTAATATAGTGACTCTATAATAACTTGTTCTTCTAGATTGTAATATTATGACAATATTAAGTTGAACATTTTCTCCATCTACTAAGAAAGTTGCAGATATTGGTAAATAACTTAAAAACTACTAATAAATAATGGATAAATTGTCTCTTTAAGTATTTATAAACACAAAGGATATCTTAGTCATTTTAGAACTGAGGATTATCAAATATTGATACAAATATAAGTTGTCTAACCCTGTAAAGCAACCATAGGAAACAAAAGCCTTTTTGTTTTTGTCTTATAATTAGAATGTTGAATGTGTTTTGTCATTGGTTCTTGGAACATGAATACTGAAGTTTCTTTGTTTATTTTCTTTAAGTAATCATGATCATGGTTTATGTCTCCCTGAAAAATTACAGAAAACATTCCCTGACTGCTCAAAAGGTCTTTCTTAGGATCTGTGTGTGTCACTACAGAACGTGGATGCCATAGAAAATGCATACCAGAATATGGGAACAGTTTTAAATTTTAGTTTCTTGTGTTTGGCCTGTTCATTACAAAAAGCTAAGCAATTTGTTTCCTGTTTCCAGTTCTGTTTGATATTTAAATTGACTGAGACACTTGGAATGGTTCCAAAACTGAACAGTTTTTCAAAACAGAGTTCTTCATAGGGCGTGACAGCATAAGAAGTGAATAATCACCTTCAGTGATATCTTACATGAGTTTGGAGTATTAGCATGTGGTATTAAAAATATTTCACAAAGCTTGTGTTTGATAGAAAGTGGAATAATATATATAGCCACACTATTTCACTCTTAAGTATAAACTTAAAGTTAGGGGCAAAATGATGTGAGTGAATTCTCAATATATGTGCTGATTTATTAGAGATGAGATAATGACACATCTGCAGTAATAAACTTTGTAATGATCAGGCTGTCAGCAATCAAAGGATGAGATGTTTTTAGAAAATGTTGAGTGTTCCTTTCTGCATATGTGATCAGATGGTCAGAATAGTAGTCACAATCGGATGTCTGCCAATTAACGGGAAACCTTAAAAATGATGAAATCAACATTTTACATACTATTGTCATGTTTCTGGGCCGCTAAGTCTATTTGTTTCATATGCATAATTCTCTGCTCCACATAAATCTTTGAAAGTCAGAACTAAGGCCATTATGTTTATGAATTCCAAACATCTAGATCTTTGATCCACTCCAGTCCTTGTCCATGTGAGTTTCTTATGTAAACATAACTTGAATGCATTTCTGTGGCTTATCTAGTTGGTTTTGAACCCATGTGGGGGTGATTATAAGAATTAACCTCACATATCTTTGTGCTGCATTCATTCCTTTTGCAGTTGAAAAGGGCAAGCAAAAGAATCCCAGGAGTCTATGCATCCAGACACAGACGTCTCCAGATGTGCTGTCCTCTGAAAAAGCACTTGAATTGGCTCAGTATAAAACGAAATGTGAGAGCCAAAGTGGATTTATCCAGCATCTCAAGCACCTTGTTTCCCTTGGCAATATCAAGCTGGAAGCATTAACAGTTGTGATCCAGCACCTACTGTCTGAGGTGAGGGGCGAGCCCTGTTGGGGAGGCACACTCTGGGGTGGCTGCTGGGGCACCATGGATAGCTGAAGGGGACACAGTGGTCACACCCTGTCGCGTGAATGTTTAAATTAATGGTTGAAAGATCAGGTGTGGTTCATCCAACTCTACTTTTTTTCTGCTCACTTGATACCCCAGTTAGTCTCCAGAAATTTGTGATGGAAACATTTTCTTAGTACCCCATTTTCTCCCCTAGAGTCTCTCAGTTAAAAGTTTAACAGGGAAGAGATGATTGTCTATGGTGCTTTTATATGCCTCTAAACCTTACAATACCATTACTTTTTTTTTTTTTTTTTTTACTTTTTTGGTCTAACTATATGTAGCTTTCCATATCACACTTAATTTAATGCTTTGAAAAATGAAGTTGATTATAGATCAAAGAATTCTTTTTGAACTTACTCCCAGAATCAGATCTAGGACTCTTCAATTTCCATCCATTCCTAAAATAAACTGTGGTACAACAAAAGCAAAGCAGATTTTCTTTGTTTACTTACTCTTCTCTGATATTCTACAGGAATGTTATTTCAGGAAACTAATTAAAATTCATGGAGAAAAATTAGACATAGCAACAAAAACTACAATTTTCTAAGGGGAAAACTGGGACAAGAATATAACTTGAGCTCTTCAGTTTTTTAATCAGTTTTAGAGGTGGATATGTATGACATCTCGATAGAAGGAAATGATTCCATTTGTTCTATAGTTCAGTTCAATACAATAACCCTAGACTGATTTCAGGCAGAGACTCCTATGATGGGGCTGCTTAGGGAGGGGAGACAGAAGTCAGTGAGGTTTGGTCCGTGCCTTTGGGGAGCTACCAGGCCAATAATAACTTTAGTGTATGTGCTGCTGAAGCAAGCATGCAATAATCACTTTAGATTAATACTTGATGAATATTTTGTGGTTTTGTCTATGTGTTGTGCATATGTGGTGCTGGAGATCCAACCCAGTGCTTCACCCATGTTGAGCAGGCGCTGTGCCACTAAACATGGGAGATGAAGACGTTTTTACTGTGTTTGTTTCTCTTTACTAAGTAAGAGAGCAATGCAAGAATTGGTTTATATAATGAAGTAGGTTAGCTCGAAAACCATACAAAGTTGATTGTAGGGAACATTTAGCTTTTCTATTTAGAGATAAGCCAATTGTTTTGTCTTATTGTACACAGTCCAAAAGCCCCATCTCCATTCTTTTTCTGTCCTTTGTCACTCACATGAAATCAATCATTGGATCATCTAAATTCTTGACCCATAGTATTTCCTCTCTTCATCTGATTTTGGCTATTCCTAAAGATGTCTTTCTTCTTCAGACCAGTCTTAGGCTGGCCTCAAACTCACAGCAATCCTTCTGCCTCAGCCTACCCAGTGCTGTGATTACAGGCATGGGCCACCACACCCGATTAGGCTAGTCCTTAGGCTTGTACCGTATCTCTCCTATAATCTGTCCCATGCACTACTAACAAGTTTTGTTTGTTTGTTTGTTTGAGACAGGGTCTCACTACATAGTTTAGACTAGTTTTGAACTCACTCCTCCTGCCTCAGCCTCCTGAGTCCTGGTATTACAGGCATGCACCACCACACTTAGCTACTGCTAACAGTTTTATCTTTCCAAAGCATTCTGTTCTTCTGATTAAATACTCCATTGTCTACAGCTGATCTGTCTAGTATCATAGCCACAAGTCTTAGGGAGACTGTTGAGCATGTGAAATGTAATCAGTCTGAATTGAGATATGTGGTGAGTATAAAATACACATGGATTTCAAAGAGAATTTTTTAAAGATATAAAATGTATTTTTATGTTGACTGTGAAAATATTTTGTATATATTTTAGGTTCAGTAAAATATTAAAATTTGCTTCCTCTTTTTTAACTTTAAAATTGTGGCTACTGGGAAAATTTAAATTATATACAGAAGTCACATACTTGTTTTGTTTTTTTGGTACCAGGGAGTGAACTCGGGACCTTGTGCTTGCAAGGTGGGCGCCGGAACCACTGAGCTAAATCCCCAGCCCTACATATTTGTTTTGGATGACACTGGGTTATAACTTGGAATATAAAGCTCTGTAATCTGACACCAAGTGCCCTTTTCATTGTTACATTCACTTTCCAACAGTTGGACTGTGTATTTGGGAGATGGAGGAGACACAAGAGGAATTTAACATTTTCTGACTATTTTCTAGGTATCAGATATTCTTACTCACCTTATTAAAACCTCAACATGGGCCAGGGTTTTAGCTCAGTGGTGCCACCTGCCTCGCAAGAGCAAGGTCCTGAGTTTGATCCCTGGTACCCAAAAAACCCAAAAAAACCCTCAACAAAACCACAATGAATTGGAATTTGTAAAAAAGAAAATTGAGGCATAGAGTTATCAAGTAACATTAAATAGCGGGCAAGAGGAAGACTTGGATGTAAGCCCCAGGCTAGGACTTTATGAACTCAAAATTTCCTGTACTTTTTCATCTTGTTTGTTCATCTGCTACTGGGCTACTGTACGGGCTCTCATGCCTACATATGCAGATCTTTCTTTAGCATTATCACATCAGTGCCTACATTTAATTTACACAGATTCATTCATTATACAAACAGCCGAAGTAAATATGCAAAGTAAGTAAAGGAACTGGTCTGCCTTCTGTTGCCCCTCAGTGGCCAAAGACCCAAAAACAGATTTGAGATGAAAGACAAGTGTCTACTCCTCAGGCATCTTCTCAGACTCCAAGTACCTTGTGTGGCATGAACATTCTACACTATATGCAATTTTACTGTTTTAAAATACTTTTTCCCCTTAAACCTGGCTCCTAAACACAAGCCAGGCACTTATCAGGTGTTCACTTGGGGAAAAAATTGGTGCAACACTGTTAAAAATTCACTGGGTTGGATATCCTGAGAAGGATGTATACGGGGTCCTGTAATACAGTGGCTGGAAAAGAAAGACATAACCGAAGTAAAGTTAAACAATTAAGAAATTCTTTGAAGTCTTTAGTTCTTTCGAAATAATTACTGAAGTATGTGTGAATGTATACACAATAATTGTATGTGTCTACATGGTATGGCCAAAAAACATAGTGTTTAAATTTTTTAAAAATTTAGGCACATAGTCATTAATCCCACTCAAAATACTCTTCCTCACTTTAGTCACATTTATCACATTCTTGCCACTTTCTGAAGCAGTTCTGGAAATCCTCTTTTGTGAGTGTAATTGCAGGGTTTGATAAAAAATACAGTGAATGCTGCTACTGAATGCCGTCCAGTGGAAAGGCAGGCTTGTAAAAACATTACACTATGTCCTATCCATCTTATTCACTAGATTTGGTATTGTGTGACTTCTGGCTCTTCCCGAAAGTCAAAGTTACCACGAAAGGCAAATGTTTTAAACAAATTCAGGCCATCAAAGCAGCCATGACAGTGTAACTAAGGACACGCACAAGAAAAGGACTTTCGGAACTACTTCAGAAAGTGGCAAGAATGATGGGGAAAGTGTGTTGGAAGAGAAGGGCATGTCTTGAGGGAGATTAGTGGTAATGTCTTTTATTGTAATAATTTTTAAATTTTAAATATACTGTATATTTAATCATAACTTGTATTTAATGTATATAAAATATATAAGGATAAATATTATGTGTATCTTGTGATTGCAGATCTTTTCTAGATGATGTTGAGTCATTAGATTATGAGTAAAAATGTTTGATTACAGGAAATCTGAGAACTATCCCTATTCCTTCTGTTGCAAGTCTGTTTAATAACTGCAACACAAGCACATATTACTATGTATATGTTCTGATAAATATCTCATCAGTGTGGAAACCTTCTGTCACTATTTCTCAAAGGACGCAGTAATGTTAGTTTCAGTTCTAATCCTTGGTTCATCCTGGCATGGTTGAACAATATTCTGCACAGATAGCCAAGGTGAACAGCAGTGTGGTGGTGGTGAGGCCAGTGTCTTCATAAAGGGTCCGTGTAGGTTTCTACAGGACCACGGTCTTCCCCATACCTCTGACTTAATTCTTCAAAGTGCCTCTAAATCTTTTGCTTTGTAAATGGAATCTAAACTAGAGTAGCATCTAATCCAAGGTGAATTTTGAATGACATTAACTGTCTACATTAAGTAAAACTGTCTCAGACCAAAAACAGTGGCCACACTGACAGATTCACCATATGGGGAGGAGGGCAGGCATAGCCACTCAGAGCCATCTGATGTGGCTCCTGTGCTGCTGATGATATGCAGTAGCTAGCAAAATCCAGGCATGCGATGGGACGGCAGCCAGAGACTAAGTGCTGTGTCCCAGAGACCCCTAATTAAATTATAGTGAATCCATTTTTTTCTTGGAGCACTTCATATATTTAATTCATGAGTAAAGAAACATCTTTCTAGATTTCTACCTTCTCTTTTATCATACTGTGTGTGTGGAATTCTGCATGTTACAATACAAAGAATCAAATAAACTTGTTACCTGGACTCTAAAGGATTTATCGTCTAAGACAGAAACCCTAATCTAGGAGTATCTGAATAAAAAGAAACAGTGAATCAGTGTCTGACAAAATATATTTTATCATTACGAGTAAATGATAAGTACATTTAAAGGGCAAGCTACCAGGAAAGTCAAACAGAAATACTGAGTATATGTCTATTAGAAGATGGGCATGGTAGTCAACATTTCACATAAGGATCATATTTAAGGCCCTCAGTTTTTCTATTACTGCTTCTTCTCAAATGAGGTTTTATGTTTGATGACCAAAGAATTGGGCCTGGCCATTTTAGTTCCACCAAAACTTCTTGAAAGCAGCAGCCATATCTTAAGTTTCTTACATAATTTTTACAGCATATACTATGAAAAATGCTTGGTTGGTACAAAATGATAACTTGCCAACCAGCCCAGAAGGATAAATGTCCTTTCTAGGCATCTAGGGGAAGGGGATAGGTATCTCTGATACTTAGTATTCCCAGAAGGTTTATATAATGGGTCAGGTAAAGAAAGTGGGGCATCCAGGATGTGTGGCATTGACAGTGGGGTGGGACACACGTGACACTTGTGACTTATACAGGAGAGGGCCTGGGAGTCTGAACAGAAGCTGGATGATTCAGGTCTGTGGTGACTTTGTGTGGTGCTGGGAGTTGAACCCAGGACCTCAGGTATGCTAAACATGGACTCTGTCACTGAGCTACACCTTAGCTGTGTTTTCTGGCCTTTCATCCACTCAATGAGAGGTTCTTTTTGAGTAAGGGAATTTATATGCACAAAAAATATGGAATAATAACCTGAGAGCCCTCTGCAAAGTGGAGAGATCCTGTCCATTGTCTGGAACTGGGTTGGTGAGGATCAGGGCTAGAGTGGAGGCTAAGAGAAAAAGTACAATAGATTCAAGACATGTTATGAAGGGAGAACTGACTGACTTTTGCACATTCCATTGAGATAAGGAGTGAGGTGACCACAGCCTTCTTTTCTTGCTGTGACTGTGAATGGCAGAGACCAGAGTATGTAAAAAGCTTCTGAAACACTGAGGATAAGATGGTTGTATGCAGTGGAGTTGAGAGAAATGCCTTGTCCCCTAAGCCCCTTTAAAAAGCAAAAATATCACCTGGTTGCATTTGTCGTAAAAGAATGGATGTTTACAAAATTGTCCTTTGAAACTATATCATCAATAATTTTTAATTTTTTTGCCCTTTTAGTTTCCATGAGTTTGAGAAGTGATTTAATTCTCTTGCCATCTCTTCTACTAGCAACATGGCTCCTATTAGAAAGTGAACTTTAAGCAAGCCCACTGAATATGTTTAGGTTTGCTTATGGATATTTAATAAAGCCATATTCTGGTTTTCCTGTCACTTTACTGATAAAAGTTGCTGCTATTTATCTGCACTAGATTATTAAAGTTTAAGTTTATGAAATTAAGAGGGGGAGGACCTGAGTCGTATTTTTTAAAGTTTTCTTTCCTTATTAACCAGGCTGATTGTCCTTCAACTTTAATTTTCACATTAGAAAACCAATTACTTTTTTTTCTCTTCTGATATTGGGAATTGAACCCAGTGCTTTGTGCATAATAGGAAGCACTCTACCCTGAGCTACACTCCCAGCCCTACTTACTATTTTTAAAAGTTGGGCTCACGGATTTGTAATTTCAGAACAACTTAATACCATGTGTTTTAAAACCAAGCATTTAGGATACCCTCAAGACCAAAATATGCTTGATGGTAAAAGTATTTAATAAATTCCAGTCACTGTTACCTGTTTACACAATGCTGCTTGTGTCTACAGCTTTAGCTACTATTGAGAGACTAGTGCAAAATAGGCGATAAGATGTATGTAACCTCTAACACTCAAATCAGCATTTCAAAGTTTTTTTAATCAATGGACCACATTCTAAGCAATCAGATTAAATATTGAGAGGAACATCATTCATTTGATAATGTCACTTAAGATTCAAAATCACAACTCTCCCCTTTTCATTGCCCTTCACCTAGTTTATAACCTCATTTAGTGTATGGGTTTAGAAAGTTAACTTTCCCTTTTCTATTAGTAAGTGTGATAATCTAATGACCTCAATTAGAGAGGGGAGTAAAAAGGCTCACAAATCTAAAAATAACTCCATTATCCATGCAGAGAGGGCCAGTTTTTGTTTCCATTGTCCCAGCTGATATTTAAGTAAGTGGCAATCGATCAGTCTAATGTCTGGCTCTCATTTTTCATAAATGAAGGGCTATGGCTTTAAGTAATCGCAGGCTGCCTGTGCCAAAGGCAGAAGCTGCAGTATCAGCTTCTGTGGGGAGAGAGGAGTCTGAGGCTTACGGTAACCTGCAGGACGTGCAGGAAGGCCACTGAGGGCCAATGGCGCTCCTCCTGGTAGAGCTTTGAATGTTGACAGACCTGACTGGTGGGTGGTGCAGCCACCTGTGCACTTCTTGGACAGTGCAGGGGGTGGGGGAGTTAGAGAGAGAAGCTGGAAAATGGGCTGCCCCAGCAGCAAAATGTGCCTCTCTCCTCCATGTGCAGCAACAAGGGTAATTAGTATTTGTTAATAGTGCTTTTCTGGAAGAATGTCAGGGACTATGGCAGAGGGTGTCTGGAATCCAGGAAATGCTTTGAATGACAAGCAACTCTTGCTGCAAAGGCTGGATGGATCTCATGATCTCTGCAATACGAGATCAGGATGCGGTGCTAGCTACATCTGGGGCTATCCCAGTGAAGGCATTTTCAGAGCTTTGAAATTCTGTGTCTGCCTTAGTTACACCCTGGTGCTAGGGAATCTACCGTGTAAGGAACTGAGTCTAACTACTTTATTTGTGTAAGTGTGTGTGGATGTGTGGTTGCTTACGGGTTGCTGGTAACTTGAAAATTATTCTTTATGGTAAGGTTGATGGTTGCTTTCTAAATACTGATACAGCTTCCTGAATTCTTTTGGTTCATTTCTCTAACATCTACTTAGAATTATAGCTGCTCCAAGGTATAATAATCCTTGAAAACTGGTGAGTAGCTAGATAAATCAATTTAATTTTCTTCTCTAAAGGAATATTTTTTGCCATAGCTTTATAACAAACTTTTTTGTCTTTTAGAAGTTAAGGATTGGTCTTGTAGCAAAACTTTATTATCTGTGACTGTAGGACAAAGTATATGTAAGTGCCTGTGTTTAGAACATTAAATATTTATCTTAGACCGATTAGGCCTTTCTTGCCCTTGGAGGAAGAGAATGCATTGCATCTTAAGTACAGTATGCATTAGCTGAAAGGTGCTATGGATCATCAGCGAAGCTCTGGCTCAAAGCAAATATTTTTAAATGAGCCATTCAGTTTCTCAAAGGAAAGTTTTACTAGGACTTGAAAAAATAGACTTTCGAAACGCAGATTTCCTTCACAACTAAGGGACATCTGTGTTTTCAACAACACAAACTGTGTTGGTCTAAATGATTCATATCTTGGCTTCTTGATTCTGTGTCTAGTTTTCCTAGTGATAACAAATGTGCACTGATGGAAAAGAGACCCTCTTGAAAACATTAGTAACTTGATGTGTGTTTTCTGCAGCGGGAGGAAGCCCTGAAACAACACAAAACCCTATCTCAAGAACTCGTTAACCTCCAGGGAGAGCTAGGTAAGAGCTTTTACTTTTTTGGCCTGGTAGTGGTGGTAAATTTTATGGGACCGGGGTAGGGGGGACTGGAGTATTCAGTTTTCTGGTCTGCATTGAGGCTGGAGTCGCAAACGGCAGTTGTTTGCACTTGCACTCTGGTATCTGTGCAAACACTTAACTATCGACATTTCTCTTGAATGTTGGCAGCTTGACTTCAAGTTCACAGAATTCCTGGCACTGATCTCACTAAGCCTAGCAGATCCTCTGATGACCAAAACATGTCTCTTGCTGAAGAGAGAGAGACAGAATGATTTTTTGTCATTACGTGAATTCCTGTTTTTTTCTGAACCACTTTTCACCTTAAAGAGTGTTGAGGAAATTCCCTCTCTGATAACAGTAATTACGTTACCCTTCCTGGGGGTGGTTTGTGAGCAGTGAGTATAAAGTTGAAAGGGCACTGCTTGTTACAACAGTCCATCTGAAAAAAAGGCATATTCTGTGCCAGTCTAACAACTTGGATGGGGCTGAAGGTGAATGACCACACAGCATCACAGGGTGCATTGTGTCTGGGCAGGACACACTCAGCATTCCTCTCCAGAAGCCAGACTGTTTCTGTTCTTCTCTGCCCCGGAGACCCTGTTGCAGCACAGAGAAGGTTCCACTCCCCCCTTCCTGTGTTGGAATGAGCTGACTAGGGTGGGGTCCCCCAGTCTACAGTGGCTCCCCAGTCTAGAAAACCAGTTTCCTGCTCTAGCCTTAGCCAGATCTAAAGTTGTTCAACAAAAGGCTGCTTTCCTT